CCCCATAATCCCCCCTCCACCAAACTTTACACTTGGCACAATGCAGTCAGGCAAGTACCGTTCTCCTGGCAACCGCCAAACCCAGACACGCCCATCGGATTGCCAGACAGAGAAGCGTGATTGGTCCCTCCAGAGACCATGCCTCCACTTCTCTAGAGTCCAGTGGCGGCGTGCGTTACACCACGGCATCCCACGCTTTGCATTGCACTTGGTGATGTGCGGCTTGGATGCAGCTGCTCGGCCATGGAAACCATGAAGCTCTCTACGCACTGTTGTTGCGCCAATCTGAAGTACCACGATTGTAGTCACTGAGCTCCTGAGAGAGACCCATTCTTTCACAAATGTTTGTAGAAGCGTCTGCATGCCGCATGCCGAGGTGCGTGATTTTATAAATCTGTGGCCATGGAGGGGATTGGAACACCTGAATCACATGATTTGAAGGGCGAGGGGCCCAATACTTTTGGCAATATAGTGTATCCACTGCTAGCAAGCAGGAGATATATGCAAAAACATTCAAAAAAAACTTTTCAGGTTCAAACTTACCTGTGTCTTCGCCGCACACTCCTGTCCGAACATCTGAAAAGTCTTGGGCGGCCGCAAAGGATCTTGGGGTGTGCACATGCGCAGTTCAGATCTGCGGCCCGGAGACGAGGAGAAACACAAGGTAAGTCTATAGAGCAGCGTGCACCCGCACAGACACTGTGGGACGTTAGAGGAGGACAGAGGAGTCAGCGCTGGTTCGGAGACCCGCACCAGCGCTGGAGGGACAGCTGAAAACGACAGTAAAGAAGAAGATGATCGAACCAAGAGGCATCATTTAAGGGAACTCCCTACAGCAGGGGGATAGGGAAGGGGCAAAAAAAAGTTTTACTTTAATGTCATTTTACTTCCTGAGACACAACAGGAAGTCAGAAGAAATCTCTCCATAGTGAAATTCCTGCTTAGACATTCCCCTCCCATTGAAAGATTTCCCCTTGTGAGTCAAAGTATCGATTTCTCTCTTTCTTCATCTGTGATAGAGAAAGCCCAAAAAGGGAAAGACTACTGCTGGGCTTTTTGTTCTTTTAAAAGTTCAAAAGGCTCTGCAAAACCAGTGTCATGGGTGCACCCTGTACAAAATGTTTTTTTTTGCAAAATAAAGATTTTCTATCACTAATAACAAAAATGAATAATGATCAATTTTAAAAGCTTGTAAACCCTGAAAGAAAAAAAATAATTGCTCCTGCAAATCAGAATTTAATAAGTTAAGACGGCTGATGTTATTTTACAACGAACTCACAAGGCACAAAAATAGGATTTATTTTTGGAAAAAATTGAAATAAGACGATTAGTGGCTAATGGCCGGCTGTCAAAGGGTAAGTGTTGATTGAATCAGACGCATTTATGTTTATTCTGCTGTAACTTGTTCCAAAAATATATGATCTCCCCCGGCCTCAGTTCGTGGGAGGTAACAATCTGGTTGTATTCACAGTCTGTGTAGAAAACTCTCCAGGCGTTGAAGTCATTGGGCTTTGGTGGGGCCACCGGCAGTACCCCCAACTTGTCCAGACAAAGGCCAACGAAGACGTCCTCGAGACGGATCCATTTAACGGTCGGGGAGACTTGGACGATCTTAGGCGCCAGGTTGGCAGAGAACACATAGCCGGTCCCGGAGCAAAACAATGGATATCCCTTCTCCGGGTATTCTGCGGGGGGAACATACCACTTGCTATCCAGGTTCCGAATAGGCGTAGCGTTGGTCATCAGATATCCAGTAAAATAGTTCGGTCGTGGAGGCTCCTCTGGTTTCAGGAGACGGGAGATTAAATACTCGCTGTTGACGAACATGTCGCTGTCCGTTTTCATGACGTATGAGGCCTCCGGGCAATGCGTGGAAATCCAGCTTAAGCCCATCATGACCTTTACGGTCAGGTTATAGTAGGTGTCCAAATAATCCTGCTGAATGATGTCATGGAACATCTGGCTTTCTTCTAAGAGAGACCTCCGAGCATCGTCATTCCACCCAACGTCCTTGCCTATAAAAAACAGCCGCAGTATCCTGACTCCAGGTAGGAAGTCCTCCTTCCCCCACGTCTGCCGGATGGCCTGCCGAGCTTCCTTCTGCCATCTTTCCGCGGCAATGAGTAGAATAAGGAACGGAGCGCCGTCTTTACATTTATCGGGCTCGTTGATGAGGTAGTCATAGATATGAAGTGTTTTCGGAGCATCTTTGCTCGTATTTGTCTCCAGAAGAGCATTTGGAAACAAAACATGTTCCTTATCAAGGGAGGCTTCATTCTTCTTCTCTGACTTGATGGCTTCAAACTCAGTAGACAGTTCGGGCACGGCGTTCCCTATGCGTACGGCGGTAACCACCAGTTGCCCAGGGAGCCACCTAAAATTACTGAAGAGGAGCACCATCAACGTGAAAAGAATCAAGACCAGAAACAAGATGCGGATGATGCTCCATTTAGTGCTGGAAGAACAGCTGAGCCGCGTCAAGGAGAGCATGATGGATCGTTCACAAGTGCTTCATGGTTTTAGGCATTTTCAGCTCAATGGTGGTTTGCGTCCTTTCAGCATCTTCACCTCTTAGAGCGGCTGTTCTGAAAAACACATCAAACAAAAAGAGGAAAATGTCAAATTTATGTAAAATACCTAATAACCCACCAACACCACATACAGTGCCATCTCTATGCCGATGACACTCAAATCTATCTTTCCACTCCACAACTCCCCCCCTTGCGTGTCACTAATCTACTAACTGACATATCCGTCTGGATGTCGCAACATTTCTTAAAACTCAATCTTTCAAAAACTGAGCTCATCATATTTCCT